TATCAATATCTCAGCAACGATACAACTTTTTGATTTGCGCCTTTTACCAAAATTCCTTAAAATGTTTGGTCTACAAAAGTCCCCTACTTTGGAAAAGTTACGAGAATATGGATTGAAGAACGTCGGTCGTGGCTTACGTGCAATGGCTCTTAAGCAGTGTTGCTAATGTTAAATAGGCAACACTGATGAGTTTGAGGCTTCAAGATCTAGTATCACTACTCCATTACTTTGCGGCAGATTCTAACACTTTTCTTTCCTGTCATGCAATGACGAGAATAGTCGTTTCTCATTTTGTTATTTATGGCCGCGGTAGTGTCAGCTATAGAATGTATAGCCGATCCATCTCTTTCATATTTTTAGTAAGATTGTTTTTCTTTCTGTCTAGACTTAGCTGTTTCAAGTTTTCCTTTTACTGTATTGTTGTCGAATTTGTTTTGAATTGCACTTAAATTGGATGGTATTTATTATTATTCTCCTACTATTTCCGTCGTATCAACAGAATTGCACTTAATTGCAATTAAATAACCTCATGTTAGATATCTTCATTTATTCTGTGTATTGAACATAAAAAAAGGGTTTTCTTGCCGACTGACGTTTGTTTCCAACTGGAATACACAAGCAATGGATCGGGAGCCTTTTAGAACATCGTTTCAGAACGAAAATCTTTCATTATCAAAGGAAAAAGCAATTCATCTATTGAAAACTCGTTGCACATTAGCATTTTTGTTGACTTTTGTGTCAGTTTGTATGCCCCAGTCCTACGAGACATTAGAGCTCCTAGAGTGCGCGGCCGGGCTTTTCCTCCTTCATCTTTCTTCTTTTCAGTAGGGAAAGAAAGGTTATTTCGGTTACACTCAGTCCAGAACTTAGTACTTCCGAACAACTCAAAGGAATCGCGTAGGCTTTGGTCTCAGCTCGAAACTGGAGAGAAATATGTTAGCCAGTGACTTTTTTGTCTATGCAATTTAGGAAGAAGGGTCATCTCTAGTTGATCTGAGCCATTTTAGATGCGTCTCAGTCCGCGGTAGAGTAAATTTTGAGAACTTTGCTAATTTTTCAAGCGGTTTCAAGGTTTCAATGCTATTTATATAGACAACTGCTCTAAATTTGTTAGTATACAATTGAATTGCCTTACAATTATCTAAGGACGATGAAGGAATTGATTTATGTTGTGGTGATGGACGATTTACACATTATTTATCTCAAAAAGTGAAAAATATAATTGGAATTGATTTTGATGATAAAATGATACAATTTGCAAATGAACATTATTCAAATGATAATTGTGAATTTCAAATATATGATATTAGATTATTACCGGAAAAGTTTTATGATCAATTTAATATTGTTCTATGTATGTTTGGTTTGCATTGGGTAGAAGAACAAGAACAGGTATTACGACAAATTAAATTAATTGCAAAATCGTCAGCAAAGATTTTAATATCATTTAGTCGACGAAACGAAGGTTTTTATTCTGCAATTGAGCAAACAATGAACAATCCAAAAGAGCTCATTCATCTAAAACCTCCGATTACGAGAAATGTGCGGGAGGGAATTGGACAAAATAAAACAGAGTGGTAGTAAATGATGTGTCCAACTAATGAATGAGATCAAAAGAGAATTGTTCATTCAAATTTCCGTTTATATCTGCTGATGACATGTATACATGTCGAAAGTTCGTATTATGTTTTAACAACTGAGATTTAGTTAACGAAATGTTCTTGATAACAGTTATACCTAATTTGAATTGGTCTTTTAACTGCTAACCAAATAGCTAGATTTATTATCTTACATTTTAATAAACAACTATATGAGGTTGATTGTTAACTAGAATTCAGCTTTTCCAAAACTAACACATTGATATCGAAGTTTTGATTACACAAATAGTTTGAATATTTCAAAAAAAAATCGCATTTTTTCTCATTTTTCAATGAACTTTTTTACGATCTATTCATACTGGATTTTCCCATTCGGGAAAGATACAGCTTATGAGAAAAAGCATTAAAAGCAATACGAGTATTAACAGCTTTTATCTGTAATTTTTTCCTTTTTTATAAAATTTTTGCTAATAAGCAAAGTTTTCAAAAATTTAACGCTGTATTTAGAGAGTGATTGTCTTTAATACATATCTAATAAAAATGGTTCTTTTCTTAAGCGAGAAAACAACATTCCGTTGATAACAAAACATCTAATAAGCCGATTTTTTCAATTTTTCTTCCTGTTAAACTGTTTGTATCTGCAAGAATTATCTTTGGTATTACTAGTAACGATTTTGATGAGATCTGAATATCGTGTACAAATGCGCCTCTCAGTGTAGTTCATTAGTTTCTTCAAACGATAACGAGATCAAAAGGAAACCGATGTAAAGACTGAGAAGCTGCGAAGGGTGAAAAAGCTGATTTTTGCACTAGTTTATAATTTTGAGCTCAGTGCGTATGATACTGACCGTTTTTAAGTTTTGTTGGATTTCCGTGAACTTCATGGTATTCCACGCAATTTCGCAAAACGTTTGACATTTTTCTCAGCCTTGCTGAATTTTTTTCAACGAGCTTCAATGTCAAGGGTTTTTACAGATATTTCTTTGATTCTATCAAGCTTTCTTGGATTTTTTTTCTGATTTTGTTGTACCGTGGTTTCGTTCGTTTTTCTAGCTTCTCCGAATTCTTTTACATTTGTGTATGTTTGAATCCCTAAAATCCACTTTTCTTCCCTTGGAATCCGCGCTATCTGTTTTGACATTGTGTCAGTTAAGTGACAGATTAATACTCAGCAGTTACAATGGGTATTGCGGGTCTATGTAACTCGTTCATCCGAGTTGATAGTTATGATTTTAACTATATCAACTTTTTAAGAACTTTTCTCAAGTTTTAACTTTCAAAAGATACTTTTAAGCCCATCGGTGGTGTCACCATAAAAAAAATAACTGTTGGGACTGTTAGAACGTTTATATAAGTCAAAGAAAAGCTCTTTGTTTACAGGACACACTAAATGTATGAGTCTAAATGGCATCACTATTTTGATAATTATAAAGATTTATACACTTATAATGATATTGAATATTATCAAGATTTATTAGTGAAAGTTGGTTTTGTTAAAGAGCAGACTGAAATTACTGAGGAAATATTTGAATATATGTTCAGTGATAGAAAAGAGTTAATTGGATTTTTTAGTCAAACGTGGCCACAATTGCAATTTATTCCAACAGAATTAACAGATCAATTTATGAATGAATATGCAAATAATTTTATTCGAGTGTTTTCTTCAGAAAATGAGAGCAACAAAATTCAGTTAAAATTGAAAATGATGACAATCTATATTAAACAAAATATATACAAATAATTTTAATATAAGAAATTTCAGATATTTTCTCTAGCAACAGCTATTGTAAAGTAGAACTAAATTCAATTTTATGCACATCTTTGTCGATTTTGAAGTAATTTTTCTTTTCTTATCTTTCATACACTGTGTTATATCCAACGGTCATGCCTTAAGGAAACTCAAAAAAAACCATTTCGAAAAACGAAACAATTTTGGCTAAAGCTTTGTTGAGCAGTTATGATACTCTTACTATCATTATACTTCGAAATTGGTGAGTAAAGTAAATAGAGTAGCGTTTATTTACGAATGAAAAAAGACTTTTACAACTTATTATAACATACTACTAGCCTAAAGCCTATAATTCACTACAAAAACGTCCGTCTGTTGAGGAGGAAGAACACCGTTCATCTCAGTAACAAACCTCTCGTCATCCTTCACTCCTTCCATCACTACCACTGCTGTTCTCACCGGTCCATGAAAAAATGTCTTACCACCATATTTTGGAAAATAATAATAAAGTAAACTTGCTATGATTACAAATCCAATAACTACAATCGCATAATTCATTTGTTGTGCATTCGGCTGTTGATACGATGGAAATAGTAGGAGAATAATAATAAATACCATCCAAACAATTGCAACAGCTGAATTAATGAGACTCAATCGCTTGCCGAGATAGAATGGACCAGGATGAAAATCATTCCGTAGCCAGATCAATCTCGAAGCAAGTGGAGCTATATATCCCAAGTATAAAGCAATAACTGCCAGATTAAATATAGCTGTAATAGCTGTGTTATTCACCAACATCAATAGTCCGATTATAATGGATATGAAGCCACAAAGCCAAACACATCGTCGAGGTACTTTGTTCGACGTGAGAACCCTTAGATATCCACTGAATGGGAATCCACCATCTCGACTGAATGCAAATAGTTCGCGTGATGCTGGGAAGAGTAGATTCGTGTCATTAAAGACGAATGCAATAAACATAAAGAAGAATAGTGCTACGGAACCCTTCGTCCCTAAACCATTGTACAGCATTTGTCCAACGGGCTGTTCAAATTTACTTTCCAGTAGACTATTAATATTTTGTCCCATTGTGAATAGAAGTGTTATGATAATCGCTGCACCGATAAAAAGTGAAGCTAAGAGTGACGAAATCATAGCAAATGGTACGACACGTGATGCATTACTCGCTTCTTCAGCTAAGGTTGAGCTTGATTCAAACCCCGAGACAACCCAGACTGGACAGAGTAGTCCCAAAAACCAGGCCCAAACATTATTACTCCAAAAACCAGTGTTCTGAAACTCTACAAAAACAAACTTTGCCGAATTCCGATTCGATTTTGGTGTTGCAATTGCCATAGCGAGGATGAGAGCAAGACAAACGGCTGCTTGATAGAATACGTAGAATTGATTTAAACGAGATAGAATTCGTGATGGTAATGCAGTCATTGCACATGTGAGAATACAAAAGCCAACGTAGACGCCATAATCGTGATACTTATTCGGTACGTAAGCTCCGTCATAGCCCATACTAATAACCGCTAAAAACATTGTCGTTGTAAAATAAACTGTACTAGCATAGAATGCAATATACCCGAGTATTACCATATATGCACTAACCCAACAGAATAGTGGTCGATACTTGACAGGAGTTAACTTTGCTACCCAATAGTATACCCCACCAGAAGTCGGCATGGAACTTCCCAATTCACCCAATGCCAGTGCAACAGTGATCAACATTACACAGCCGGCAATCCATGTCCAAAATGCAGTGACTGACCCACCACTTCCAAGTGAAAAGACGAGTGAACCGGCAATTGACGGAGCTAATCCTTGTGCTCCCCATGCTTGCCCGAAGGCCGATAGATAACTGAATACACGTTTAAGTTCAGGAGTATAGCCAAGATCTATAAGTTGTGCATCATCGCTGAGAGCATTGGCTTTTGCTGTAACAGAAAGAGAGAAAATGTTGACAACTCCTAGTATTTCGTTTGTCAAAATCTTACCTGTTGATGGAACAGCAGTAGAATGTACAGTTTTATTATCAATGGTCATAACTAAATGAATACCGAGTTTTAATCACAGGTTAATATATTCAATACACTCGCTCTCATCCGTGCAGTACGTTAATCATTCTACGTGTATGCCATATTTTGTTCTCGTTTTAAAAAATCTGATCACTGACATGTATTCCTTTGTCAAGAAAGGAAAGAAAACATACTTTTACTACGCTTGAGTAATGATGTGATAAAACAAACATATAACACAATTATTTTTATTATTTTATGATCGTTTCGGTTTAGCGTACATATGTACAAAAAAAGGGCAGGGTGAATGTCGTAGGGAGAGATAGATGTCACACAATTTTAAAAAAGGAACGTTGTGTAAAAAATGTGATAATAATTGCAGTTGTTTTGGACTTCCATACCTTTATTTGTTGGTATTTCTACCTTTAACTGGTCATTTTCAAAAACATAAACATAAACGGAATAAATGTACAAATGATGAAAACAACTACTATTTTTCTCTATTTTTACTGTGAAATACAATAGAACAAAAGAGAGAAAATTCAAGGCTAGACCGATAAGGTTATACCTACACATATATAAAAGATACATATATAAAAGATATCTTTTATATATGAAATTGTATAAAAACTTTCTCGTATAAGTCTTCATATGAAGAGCTATGTGTGCTGTTTCGATTTTCTACTAGATCTAGTTTTTAACGTTTAATGTATAAACTTTCCTCTTAATCGATCTGACTGTATTTAATAATGATATCCCTAATAAAGAAATTTTCGAATGTTCGACCTTCAGTTCAAGAAACGCAAAGCGATTTTCTCATAGCTCAAGGAATCTAGGAATTGCTCGAATCTCCCAAAACACTAAAAAGCATAAGTCTTACCAGAGATGGGGAACTGCGATTCCGGAGCAGGCGCTGCGCAGAGCTAGCTCAGCTTCTGGAGCGGAGCGGTTGATGAAAATCACCGGAGCCGGAGTGAGCGTTTTGTGAGAGTCATGAAGTCGGAGTGGAGCGAAGCCTTCTTAAAAACCATGGAGCTGGAGCGGAGTCGGAGCGGCGGTTTCTTTTAGCTCTCTGTCAATAGCTCCATTTTTCCTTCGTGTTCTGTAAACGATGATAGATCCACCAATCAGAGGAAAGCTTATCGTTGACTATTCATCGCAGTGGATATTTCTTTGTCGTATTTATAATCAGTCGCAGTTGTGTACCTTTCACAGCCGCTCCTGTAGAACGTGTGTTTTCTTCCGGTGGGATGTTCAGGCGATCCCATGTCAGTCAACTCTCTAAGAACATACTCGCTATGCTGATTCTACTCAAATGCAATCGACACTTCCCCCATTTCAACTAGTCTTATTTCACGCTGCAGATCGGAGCGGAGCTGGAGTGAGCGGGAGTGGAGTCAGAACGGAGCTGGAGCTGAGCTGGAACGGAAATTTTCTGGTTGGAGCAGCATCATGTTCTCGAAGAAAAGTCTGAGTAAACTATGATATAATAAACTCTGAAATGGGATGTGCAAATCTGCAACGCGCGGATGCAAACTGTATATTAACCCTTGTACTACCAATCAGGGTCTATTTAGACCCTGTTCTCGGAAAAAATGAAAATATTTTGTTCAGAGCTCCGGTTTTCGCCATACTAAAAAGGAGACTTGGGCATGTTTTCACAAGCAAAATTATTTTCAGAAGAGTTTTCTGAAACAGGCTTTCCAGGAGATCTTTGAAAAACCAGATCGTGTGTAAGAATTTTTCAATAGGATTGTATTGATTTTTATCATGAGCTGATAGCCCAGGATGTTCTCTTGAAAATGGAAGCCAGGTGAGACCTTGATTTTCCTCGGTT